CTGACTCCATCCTGGTGACCCCCACCCTTGAGATATTTGCATGTAGAAGTCCGTGCTTCCCTGCCTGCACAGCAGTACCTAAATCCAGGACTGTTGCCGGGGAAGAATAAAGAAAATAATTTTGGAGTATCACATGTGAAGAGTTGAACTCCAGGCACTTGGGCAAATAGCGTAGCTTCAGGAATGAGACCTCAGCTCACAGAAAAGGTTGTAATGGTTCCAGTAAAACTACTCATCAGAGAACGGGCTGCAGAAGGGGCCCTCTGCAGACACAGGGGTCTCTGGGGAAGAGAAGAGCGTTCGGGACGGTTGATGACAAACCAGTGGGGTGTTTTGGCAATAAGATTTTTCCAGGGCAGGTTTAGCAAATAGCAGGGTGTGATAGTCTTGGGCTGTAACGATTTGTCATTAGTTTTAAGTGTAATTTTGGAGGATAGACCTTAATTTGGCTGCCATATAAGCTGACGGCTCCATTCCCAATGGCTTCTCCAAAAGCAGAGCCTGGCCCCAGGTATGCGTGCCGGCCGCTCACAGGTGGTGTAAGGAGCACCCGTGCAAAGGCTGGGATCCCACGGGTGTCAGTCTGCCGTGGAGACTTCTGCATGCAGCTGAGCCTTCGGAAACCGTACGATGCACCCATGATTTCTTGCCTGCCCGCTCATGACAGCCTTCAGGGAACTGTTCCACATGTGAGCGTTGCTCGAAAGCCTTTCGAGTGTGATGGCATCAGTTGGTGTCCATGTGGAGGGCAAACACTTGAGAGAGTACTGAGGTGATGGTGCCAAACTGGGCGCGTTCCCCTGGCAGTAACGCGGATACGTGACCTGCTTTCTTTTTGGCATAGAGATGGAATAAAGTGCATTTCCCCTCTGCCTGCCACCGAGCCGGCTTCAAGCCACAGCTGGTTTCACAGGGCTTTTGTAATTTTACATCGCAGGTTGGAAATACCCCAGTGCGGTGGGTTTTTTCCGACAGCCGGAAGGACACAGGAATTCCTTCTCAACGTCCATCTCTTGGAGCAGCAGAGCCGCATCCGGGGCGGGAGGTCTCTGCTGGGGGACACTGACGAGCAGGTCACAGCAGAGGGCCAAATGCCGGCTGCTGTGAATGTGCTGTGGGGGGAACGACCTTGGGATCTGCTGCTGCCAAGGGCAGAGCCATGTAAACAAATAGCTGGGCCTGGGAAATTTAACCAATGCTCTAAAGCCAGGTGGGAAGAAACATGAACCCATGTACACCCATGTATGAGCATGGCTTGAGTCTTAACCCAGAGCAGCTTGCGATGCTCGTGCAGGGTGTGCAGCTTCTCCCCTGCAGGGGCACCGAGCGGGAGTGCAGGAAGCGGGAGGTGGCCCTTGTGGGGCTCCTTGGCAGAGGATTGACCTAATTCGCCCCTGAAGGGGGGGAGACGCCTTGACTTCCTCGTCCTTGAGCCCCAGCAAGGTTGAGCTGTGGTCCTCGGCCACTGTAGAAATGGCAAACGCTACCAAGAGCATGTTCCCATCGACTCGTTCAGAAGCTCAGAAACTTCTTTTCTGGAGCTTGAAGTAACCTCCTTTCCTGGTTCGTTGGAAATCAGCGCTGAAGAGACCCCCAGAAGGCACGTGATGCCTTTCCAGTTGCCTACAGCTGCTGGTGCTGTTACTTGATGAACAACTCTGATACGCTCTGGAAGAGTTGGGTAGATTGATGTGAAAAACCATTTTTTGTTCATCCTCAAAATACCTGTTGAGAATGTCCTTCATCAGTGGCGCTTGCCGGTCAATTAAATGAGCCATCAAGATAAAAATGTTCATGTCTTAGCACATCCTACTGATGACTGAAGAGCTGTATGGATGATCCACTGATTGTATTGAAGATCTCCTCCTGAGCTGTGAAGCCCCCAGATGGGTCTCGATTTCTTGCCCTCCGAGTGCAGCTCTGAAGGCGCTCGGTCGTCTTGAGGAGCTCAGCGCAGGGAAACCCAGCGTGGCTCGGTCGGCTGGGTTTGAATGGGAACGCGCAGACAAGGCGTGGGTTTGCCCATAACCAACAGAAGAAAATACGGGTTCTGCTGTCAGGAAAAAAATGGTAGTAGGGGAAGATAGGGTGTTCGAGTGCCTTTGGGAATTATCTTAAGGATAAAATTTCTTCCTGTTCTGCGTCATAGTACAGGGGAATTTCTCCTTTAAACAGAGATACTTGGTGGTTTGGCATTCTCCAGCCCTAGTATGGAAGAGCTTTAACACTGATGCGCAGGGCAGAGAGCGTGGGTTTATCTAAAAACTTGGAATGTCTTGGCAAGAGTGTCTTTAAATCGGGAGGAAAAACACTTGGGTCGCTCAGCAGAGCTGTAAATTGGAAATCAGCCTTTTCCAAGAAGAGAGCCAACATCACAGCTGAGGAGTGTCCAGCCTGTCCCATCTGTTTCACATGGCCATCGGCATGCCGAGGAGGAGCCTGAGGAAGAGGAGCCCTTGGCTGGGACAGCGAACAGCTTCGCTCTTGACCCGAACGGTAGTGATGGGTCCCTGCCACCAGCCTGCGCGGGCTGTGCTCCGTCTTGCCAAGAGCACGACCAAGTGCAGTCATAGAATCACAGAATGGTTTGGGTGGGAAGGGACCCCCAGAGCCCACCCAGCCCAACCCCCCTGCAGGAGCAGGGACACCTTGAACCACATCAGGTTGCTCACAGCCCCGGCCAACCTGGCCTGGAATGGTCCCAGGGATGGGGCCTCCACCCCCTCTCTGGGCAACCCCTGCCAGGGTTTCACCACCCTCACTGTAATGAATTTCTTCCTTAGATCCAGTCTAAACCTCCCCTGCTTCAGTTTAAAGCCATCCCCCCTTGTCCTGTCACCACAGGCCCTGCTAAAAGCAGGACTTGCCTGTCCTTCAGTGCAGGGCTGGCAGATGGACACCTCCGCGCGTGCTGCAGGGAGCAGCCTTCTTAGCGACTGAGGGTCAGTTTTCCCTTTCTGGTAGTCCCCAGCTGGTCCAGGCTGGGCGGGAGCTGCTCGGGCAGCCTGGTGGTGCCCTTCTGGGGTGTTTGCCATTTGCCCGGCACCAGACCTCACCCTCCCCTCCATGCACGTTGCTCCTTTGGTTTGCTCTCCAGTTTGAATGTTGAAGATCTTGAGTGGGAGAAGATTTTATGACCTTGAAATACTCTTTCCTGGCTGAGATTATTCCATTTGGGGGTTTAGGATGTTTTTTTTTTTTCTTGTCATTGCATGGGGAGTTTGACTTGGTCACTGAAAATCCACCTGCTGTGAGCCGCTACTGGTTTTGCTGGTTAAGCTCTTGCTAACCTCACGGACGTTGCTGATAGCTCCAGTGCAGATGAGCACTTTACCCAAGGTCCCACCGACCCACAGAGAAGCTGCCTGGGCAGGGGCTGGTTTGAATCATAGAATCATAGAATGTTTTGGGTTGGAAGGGACCCCTAGAGGTCATCCAGTCCAACCCCCCTGCAGTTTGGGTGGGGAGTGGAGCTTTGCTTCTCGGGGCAGAAACAGGAGCATCCTCAGTTTGGTCTGGGTTACAGTAGCGCTGCCTCGGCTGCTCCTACAGTACAGTTTTGCCAAATATTTATTGATTTCTCTCAAACTGTGATAACTGAGGCTTGAGGGAGAAGTTCAGGTGGACAAGGCAGGACTGTTAGATGGACGCACCTGGTTTCTGACTGCAAGCCATGACGCTTCGTTGTGTTCGATCCAGTAGCTGAGGTGCGTGTTCTGGAAACTCGTCACCTCTTGGAGTTACCCAAGCACAGAGGTACCACTCCTCGGAAGTTCATCCAGGGTTTAATTGGTGCCATCATTTAAAACCAAAAAATCTTCTCCATTTGAATCATTTGGCTGGTCCTTGCAGAGGAAGAAGCCCTTCGACTCTCTTCTTTCTTTCCTTGGGAGGATTTGTGCAAGGCGATTTTTCAGACCCTTCGTTCTGAAGTGAACCTCTGCATTTCATTTCAACCGAATATTTCCCAATCATTTCTCTGTTAGGTGGCGATGGCTGTGTCTCTGGAAGCACGTGGCTTTGGGGCTGTGTTAGGTGGCGATGGCTGTGTCTCTGGAAGCACGTGGCTTTGGGGCTGTGTTAGGTGGCCATCACTGTGTCTCTGGAAGCACGTGGCTTTGGGACTGTGTTTCAGGGAGGCACTGCTGCTGTTAGAGCTTGTTTGGGTGGCAGCAACCAGAGGCTTCGCCACCCCTTTGCGGGACAGCTCACGTGGGCCAGGTCCATTCTCAATGCTCATTTGCTTTCACTGAACTCGTGCAAGGATTGGGTTTACACCAGTGCAACTCCCCCGAAACGCAAGCGGCCGTGCCTCCTTCAGAGGGCTGAGGCTTTCCCAGCCGAACAGCTGAACCTTCCTGAGTGCGTACCAGTAATCTGTTTTTAATTTTTGTTGCCATATATAATTCCTACTGACTTAATTCTGTCATGAGGAAAGATCATAACTTCCAGGCAAGATTAAGATGTGTCTAAATTCAAAGGCAAGGGGAAGAGGGGAAGACGGAGACGTTCCATCTGGGTGGTCATACACGGATCTTCCCCTCCTTTTTTTATTAAAGGCAAAGTCTTCACTTTTGTAAAAACACTGAAAATTCAAATTAATTTGAGGCTTATTAAAGGAGATCTCGATGTGCTTTGGAAAATTAAGAAAATACGTACTGAGTATTTAATCCATGAAATAGAGCTGATACTGTGGAGCTGACAATTTAATTCCTTCCGGGGCACGATGAACTTTCTCCTTGACTTTCCAAATCCAGATCCCTGTTGACATCAACGCAGAGTAAATAAGGGCAGGGTTGGTCTAGACGGCGGCTGGCCAGCCCTTGTGCCGCGGACTCCTCCCGCTGAGCGCGGGTAGCCCGGCAGGCGCAGCATGGGGCTCTTGGTCTCCGTGTGTTGCAGGCTGCAGAAGGCCCAGGAGGAGCATCGCTCTGTGGAGGTGGAGAAGGTGCACCTGGAGAAGAAGCTGCAGGATGAGATCAGCATCGCCAAGCAGGAGGCACACCGGCTCCGCGAGCTGCGGGAGGGCACGGAGAATGAGCTGAGCAGGCAGAAATATGCCGAGCAAGAACTGGAGCAGGTAAGGGCTCAGACAGATGGATGCGCTTGCATACGAGACGTGCCAGGAGAGCCGTAGGCGGTTCCTCCCCTGCTTCATCCTTTGGAGAAATCCAGTGATGTTCTGCTTACAGCGCTCTTCCTTCCGCCTCTGCTTTCCCACTCTCTTCGTGTGGGAAAAGATCCAAGTATTTCTTGCGCTGCGCCAGGTTACGCGTCCCCTACGCTCTGGAACAGCCCTGCTTGTGCCGGGGGCAGCAGGGACCGCGCAAGGCTGCCGCAGGAGCGCTCTGCTGCTACCACGCGCTGGCCCCGCAGAAGGAGGGGTGTTGGAGTTGGCCTGTAGCTGCACCCCTCTGAGGACCTCTAGCTCCCACTCCAAGCCATAAGCTCCTTCTTTTTCCCCTTCCGTATCGATCCGTGGTTTTAGGAGGGATTTAGAATGAGCTTGGTGGTGCTCACTGTGTTCTCTTCTGGATCAGAGGTGTACGACGGAAATTGCCTTCCAAGGAAATTTAGCACTAGGTTAGAATCTGTACAGCAAGGTTAGAGTTCGTATGCGATTCTCAAAACCATTAGTTTTCATTTTAAACTATCAGGAAAATATCATAGAATCATAGAAATGTTTTGGGTTGGAAGGGACCCCTAGAGGTCACCCAGCCCAACCCCCCTGCAGGGAGCAGGGACACCTTTAACCACATCAGGTTGCTCACGGCCCCGTCCAACCTGGTGGAAAATACGTCCCCACGTTGGATACCGTAACGCCGGCCTCGACAGAGTCCTGTGCATAACGCTGCTGCTGGCAAAAATGAGAGGCGTTCGGTCCGGAAGGGTGCACAGAGCATTTGTAAAACAATTGGTTGTGGGTCAGGAAAAGCATTCCCAGTCCCACACCTAAAACCCCGGAGACCTGTAACAAAAGCCATAGGGAAATCATGGAAGTCGAGGGCGTTGCTCGTGGCGCCTGCCTGCGGTAACGGAGGGCAAAGAGCAAGAATCTGGGAATTACGCCCCAAACCCACCCTGGGCCCAAGCCCACAACTGCAGCTGCTGCTTCCTGAGGGACAAATCCTACCGGGCTGTCACGGACAGGTCAGGTCACGCTGAAATTGCGTGAGCCCGGATTGCATGAGCCAAGCGAGTACCTTGGCTGTCCTGCGGCCACCAGCGTGTCCTCCCAACCTGACTGTGCCCGTCTTCTGTGCCACCGGGGAGGATGGGGAAGAAAACGGGACAAGAATGTAGGGTTTCCAGTGGCAAGGGAGAAACAAGTGTCCTGGGTCATCAGGTAACCAGGGTGCCACGGGGCAGCGTGGGCTGGGAATGCAAGCAGGCAGCAAACGGCCCATCTCCTTCCTGCTTGGAATAGAATCATAGAATCATAGAGTCACTTTGGTTGGAAAAGCCCTTTTGAGATCATCGAGTCCAACCTTTAACCTAACCCTGCCATCCCACCACTAAACCCTGTCCCCAAGCACCTCATCTCTCCTTCTTTTAAATACCTCCAGGGAGGAGGACTCTACCACCTCCCTGGGCAGCCCATTCCAGAGCCTGACAACCCTTTCGGTGAAGAAGTTTTTCCTAATGTCTAGCTTCAACCTGCCCTGGCGCAGGTTTATATATACCACCAGCCCAGGCACCCACAGGCGCCCATTACCGGCTTTGCTCTCGTGGTCCAACATTCTCCTCCTAAGAGTTCACCCAACCTCTCCCCAAAGTCACCGAGTGCCGTTTCAGGACACGCGTTGGGGCGTCCCGTGTTCGCACACGCAGAAATTCGGTCACGTTGTGTCATGGGCCGTTGAATAAGGATGCGTAGCCTTCCTTCCTCCTGTAACCCCTCATACCCAACCTGCTCCTGGCTTTTGGAGACGGCAGGGTCTCATCCATTCCGCTTCCCCCTCCATTTTACCTTTGTTAAGAAACTCGAAAAGCCAGAGGTGACTTGACCGCTGTGTTGTTCCTTAGAGGCCTTCGGGAGGGATGCGTTGGCAGGGTGAGTATTGGTTTTGCCCACCTGACCCACACTGTGTGATTATAACACGACCACCCTCCCGGCGAGCTGTAGACCACGGATTACATTAACCAGTCACTCCCACTGACCTAAAACTCATCCGATTTGAAGATATTCTTGGGTCCCAGGGAATGTTAAAACAAGACCTTCTTTTGTGCCAGTTGATTCTGATCGCTGAAACGATACTGGAGGGTTTGGAGGCTCCTACTGGAGTCGGGCGTATGAGATGGAGAAGCAGCATACTTGTGGGGTGGGACTCTTCATGCCGACCCTCTTTCCTCGCTAGGTCACCCTCCCCCCCAGACCATGGACCCAGCCAGGGCTGCAGA